TATCATATGAATCTTTGCAACATAATCAAAATTAATTCAAAAAATATTTATCACAAATATTTTCAATAATAGATATAATGCAATATAATACAATTGAAAATTTTAAATTTTTTCTATTTTTATAAGAAATAATAATTTGAAAATATTTTGTGAATTTTTACTTTAATTGTACATTTAAATCGTAATTAAATAGCTAACAAAATATTGAAAAAATAAGTTTACTTTGGCTGAATAAGTAAAAAAATAACTTTTTGATGAACGATAGCTTCATTATTTATTTAATAATAGTAAAATAATTCCGAAATTGAAATTTTAATTAATATTCCGTTTAACAATAATTATTGTGACATTTTTGTAAATTAAAAAAAAATCATCATTTTGTAGATAATTTTATTCGCTACAAGTTGTCTGTGAGTCACTTTTCGCTAAAATTGACGGTTTTCCCTACAAAGTGAAAAAACTGTTTTCCTCACTTATTTGTTTAAATAGAAAAGTTAGCTAATAAAATTTTTTGACTCACGCGATGAGAGATGTCTTGTATTATGTTCCTTTAGACAATTTTACAATAATCTCGCGGATAGGGATTTTTTCGTGTCTCTTTTTTTTCCTGGTCTATATGTAAGTTTTATGGTAAAAAGGAGCGTATGATACAACATCTACCCTTATTATCCGAACGATTTCTTAACGTCTGAACCGGCAGGCGATAATTGTCTTTCCCCCCTTCAACAATGACACGAAATATAGTTCCTTGCGTTCCTCGCTAGTTTCGAATCCGCGACGGAAAGAGAATTCCTCACCACCCCGTACAATTAAATAATAATGAAGAGGTAGCACACCTTCACTTAATACACGCCTTTGTAACGCGCTCGTAAATACAGTCGCAGCGGATTAGAGACGCGGGGTAAGCAGAAGCGGATAATTAAGAAATACACCGGAGCCTCGGCGAAACAGAACTCCTCGGGAAAGCCTGTTTATTAGTGTAACCCAAGACTAGAGATAGGTATAAATAACGCTAATGAAGATAAGTGGACCGTGCATGATTAAAACAAAAACCTGTCTCGGAAGACCGGCGCAGTCCATAACCATTAAGGGGAGCCGTTATAGGAAACCGCGGGATGCCCTCGGGACGAAATTGTAAATCACACGAACATCGTTTGGAATTTTCCGGACGCGTCAATGGTACAGTCGCACAGGTCGTTTTTACTGCAGCTTTGCATCTGTCAGTTTATCCCAGTTATTCCTGAATGAATTTATGAATTTGTTCAGGAATGTCGTCGTGATTAAAATTTTGTTTTGCCCAAAGTGAATATTTTATGGTGTTGGAAAGTAAAAAGAAAGTTTTGGATGATGTGGTCAAAAACACTTTATAAGTAGAAAATTTGTGATTTATACTCAGGAGGAGGAATATTTCACCAAATGTGTTGTTGAGACCTTCACACGTAACAAAGAGTTGATTGTTTTTATTCTATAAGAAAGAAAAGGGCACCAATCAAATTGTTGGGATAAATTCCATTACTTAGATAAAAATACCAAGCCAACTAGCATCCTGCCTCAAATTGCCAGGTCTCAAAATCTGCAAAGCGTGCTGTTTTAGATGAACATCCGCAACGCTATTGGCAGATACCGGAGATCTTAATATCATGAGTGTCATGACATTGAAACGTCGCACAGTGGGAAATATTGGAAAAAATTCGAGCCACGCGTCAAAACTAATCAAATAGTACTGATTTTGTTATTCTTTCCGAAATTACCTGTACTATAAAGTTCCGGTAAGGTAATTGGAATATATGCCTAGAATTTTTTCAAAATGACCGCCACGCGCCATTATTCCATGGCTAGAAATTGGCCTCAATGATTTGGAATCGAGGGGGATTATCCCTCTTTATCCTGCCTCATCTCGTGTAGGCCTGGACAGCCTTCATAGGTGGGCCCCATCCGTCGTCTACCCCGACCGCAAATGCGACCGGTGTAGGCGCTTTGTGGGACCTCCTTTTGTCCTGGCTGGGCCCCGCCGGCTAGGGCCCTTTCTTCTGGCGCTCTTCTTTCAAAATGACCGAGTAATCTCTAGCCTCAAACTCGATCATACGAAGTTTGACATATTCGGTATCTAAAAATGAAATAAAAAAGAAAACTATGTAGATACTAAAGGCCGCCAAAGAAAAAAAAATCATAAACATTAAACATATTCCTACATCATGAATCTAGACCCAAAACATAACCTCCAATTTATAAATCTTAACCTAAAACGAACATACTCAATTTTTCTAAACCTCTAAGTATAAATCCATAAAAATGGTACTTTTGAGTGTGCAACCAATATTTTTGCATAACTTTAACTCAAATTATAGGAAGCTTGCCAGGAAACCTGAAAACCTAACCTCAAATCCAAAATAATTAAGTTAAAAATCCACAGAAATAATATATTTTCTTCCACAAAGGATATGATTGCTTCAAAAAGACATTCTGCAATATATATTTTCCTGTGTATACCTAAAATTTAAATCCATGAAACGTAACCTTAAAGGACTAGAACCTAACCTCAAATATTTAAAATTTAAGCTAAAAATAAAAAAAGCAAACAAACCAATCCATTTTACGAAAAAAAATCCTTGAACCTAAATTTTGTAACTGTGCTTTTTTTATTTTTAGCTTAAATTTTAAACATCTGAGGTTAGGTTCTAGTCCTTTAAGGTTACGTTTTTTGGATTTAAATTTTAGGTGTGCACAATGGAAAACATATATTGCAGAATGTCTTTTTGAACCAATCATATCCTTTGTGGAAGAAAATATATTGTTTCTGTGGATTTTTAATTTAATTATTTTAGATTTGAGGTTAGGTTTTCAGCTTTCCTGGTCAACTTCCTATGAATTTGAGTTAAAGTGATGCAAAAATATTGGTTGCATACTCAAAAGTACCATTTTTATGGATTTATACTCACAGGTTTAGAAAAAATTGAGTATGTTCGTTTTAGGTTAAGATTTATAAATTGGAGGTTATGTTTTGGGTATAGATTCATGATTTAAGAATATGGTTAATGTTTATGATTTTTTTTGTTTGGCAGCCTTTAGTACATAATTTTCCTTTATTTTCATATTTAAATACCGAATATATCAAACTTCGAAAGATCGAGTCTGAGGCTAGAGATTACTCGGCCATTTTGAAAAAATTCTAGGCATATATTCCAATTACCTCACTGGAACTATATAGTACAGGTAATTTCGGAAAGAATAAAAAAAAATCAGTACTATTTGATTAGTTTTGACGCTTGGCTCGAATTTTTTCCAATATTTCCCACTGTGCGACGTGGTGGATAAAAGTCGCCTGCTACAGCGAGAGATATGCGGCCGATTCGATAAAAAACAAGATTGGAATACCAAAAAAAATCAGCAGAGTTGAAAAAAACTTTACTAAGGGAATCGTATTTTGAATAGCTCTAAGTATCGAAGTTTAAAATCGTTTCAATTCATTGACGTCATCATTATTCCAGACATATAGGAAAATCTGTAAGTGATTTCAGTCGGGTTAACTCGGCAACTTAGTTGGGAACTATTGAGTGGTTAGTTTCTCACAGTTTACGAACTCATAACTGGTACACAAAGTGAAAATTAAAGCAAAAGAGTTCTTTCGTTCCTATTTCCAGAACTCGGAACAGTTTCCAACGTAAACAATAACAAAATTTTACTAACGAACCACCAATCTTTAAAATAATAATAACAACGAGGAGAACTTAGGAAACCCCGTTAATTAAGGGAATACGACACTCGAACGCGCCATCTGGTGTCAGAGATACTGCCACAATGGTTTTATATCTTAGCGTACTCGTAAAATTGGTTGCCTAGCTGGGGTTGTCCTAAAATTCACGAAAGAAACGATTTTGATAGGAAATACAGGTTTATAATTAACAATTGTTGTTTCTGGACTCTCAGCAACACTCTCTCACGCACTGCTTCGATGTTTTGTGTTGAACGACTTGCTGAAGGACCAGTGTGTTTAAGATCACTAATTAAACCATATTTTGTACGAAAATTGCGAACTCTGTAGCTGACAAACCAAACCAAACTTTGTATTCAACAATATTTTTCTACGTTAATGCAAACAGTTAAAGGGTCAAAAGAATTTCCGATAATTTTCTGTGATTTTTGACAGACTGTATTTAGGTGAAAAATGGTCGTATGGGGAATTAAAAAAAAAAGCATTCTGAAGCTCTAAGATTGTAGTTTTTAGATCTTTCGGTCGAAATTTTGTAGGAGCTACGGTTATCATGCATATCCAGAAAGTTGGCTAGAAAGTTTACTGTTGAAAGAACAAATTAAAGAAATTATAAAGAACAAGTGCGACTTAAAGAAGTTCTTGGAAGAAGGTCCCGATGTAGAGTAGAAAAGAAAATTTCCAAAAATTGATTTAATTTTGACGCTAGATTAAAGGATTTGTACAAAACGCCACCTACTATTAACTGCACGAAACACAAATCGCCAAATATTATTTGACGTGCAATTCACACTAGTTATCAAGAACGTCCGCAGGATGGCAGCACGGTTATTACTTATACATGGTGGGCGCCGATCTAAAACGTTTATTTACTGAAAATATATAGTTTTACCTTCCATGACTGGGCAGAGGGAAACCATCCAGGGACCAGGATATCTGAGGAGTTGGATTCCCAGAAGCGCTACATTTCAAGGATACTGCCGGTCCTTGCTGAAGTGTTTGCTCTATGAAACTGTAGAGCAGTATCGGGGGGGCGTCTGAAAACAGAGGTAAAAAAAATTGTCCGTTTGCGTTATATTAAAAAGCAAATACTTGGAAATATCGAGTTAATATGTAGACTTATACAGGGTGTTTTTAAATGAAGTAGCAAAAATGGTACCAGTGAATGTACAGCCAAAAATAAGAGGATTGAAGTAAAAATACCTTATATGAAAGTTGCACCCCTAAGGCGATATACCCTCTTAAAGGAGGGGATTGAAATTCACATTTTAATTTTTTTCTTTAACATGAGGAATGCTAGAGACACGAAACTTGGTATGAGCATCCTACTGACAGGGAGACAACTTTTCAATATTTTTTCGATGTATTTTATAAAGGAGTGAAACAGTTAACCCCATTGCAATATTTTATTAGACATTTTTTATATGAGGCAAATTATTTATTTAAAAATATTTATTGGGGAGACTGATTTATTGCCCAACTTTTTTACCTATTGTAATTTTTCGATAAAACCGATAGCTTTCTAGTAAAAAAAATTAGACGCGTCATCGTTCACTAAAGGGGTAATTGCGAAAATTTGTAAAAATAAAGTAGGCGGATGCCATAACAAATAAATTGTTATTTATCATATTAATAAATTGACACTTTATGTCAATAAGCTGGTAATTTAATAACATTAAGAATAATTTGCTATTAATTAATGAAAAATGTTTGATAACTTATTCCTATGGGACATGTATTAGGTAAAGTTATTTATCTAAAATAAAATTTAATACAAACGAAAAACAAGGAATGCAAAATTAAATTTAAAAAATATTCTCGAAATAATTTCCATTTTGCTGCAAGCATAACCTAATACGTCTATTTTTGTTACTTCATTTAAAAACACTAAAGAGACTTTGGAAACTGTAGTGAAAAAATTCAACTCATAAAAATAATGATCAATTCTTTGTACACTTTATTTTTGAAACAGTTATTTTTTAAATGTTTCCAATAATCAACGTAATTAAAGATGATTTGGAAAATTTAAGTCTTTTTGCTTTGTATCCATGATTCCACGTATTTTAAAATATGGCTTGATTCCAAGGATTAAACGAAACGTTAAAATATACAAGTCCGGTATCGTCCTTGTACAAGCTTAATACCTGATTCTGCCCCTTTCAAGTTTTACATCAATATTATTTCTCTTTCAAAGATTTAGATCAAGATGAAGACTAAGACAAGAACAAAAACGTTATCCTACCACTACGCAAACTTACCCCCCAATTGCAGTTCAGCTGCTGCCTGGGCAGTGTCCCCTTCAGCCCTCCTGACGACGCACTGATACATTCCCCTGTCTTCCCTCCCTATGTTGTTCACGATGAGAGTTTCGCTGGACCCTCTACCCGTGCTTGGGAGCTGTCTGCCGTCTTTGTACCACGTGACGAGGTGCGGGCCACCACTTTGGGCGGACACCACGCATCTACAAGGACGTAATACAAATATTTTTGGAAACTACGTTTAGACACACATTGTAACTTTATTTTCACAAATTCCGCCGCGAAAACTGATTATTCTTTAATTTTCCATCGTAATTTTCACACCTCGCCGCTGAACAGACTAGTACGACTAAATGTTTGTCACAAAATAAAACATACAAATAGAATTTTCGAAATTCCCGCCGCAGTTATTTAATTCACCGATTCAAGTAGGTGGCGCCACGTGCTGACGAACTGTCAAGTATTAGCAGAGAAATTGTGTTTCTTCTCGTTACCTGAACTCGGCGGTGCCTCCCATGTGGACGCTCATCAGCGGCGGCGAGATCTCTACGTGCAGGGGCGTGGAGACGATTAATCGCAACTCTGCGCTGGATTCGCCGCCCGCGTTCGACGCCGAACACCGGTAGGGCCCCCCTGGAACAAGCAGATGGGATAATTGGGTTAATCTGCGGCGTCGGAGGTGTTTATCTCGAGGCTGATGGATCGGCGACGCGGCTCCACGCGAGATAATATCCAGCCGACAGACGCATATATAATGCGTGAGAATCGGGGGGGGTGCCGGTTCTTAACAGATTTCCCCAGTTGGAGGATTTGATGGGCATGAATCAATAGGAGGTGGTGGAATTTATCGGAAGAAATAGGGGTACGGTTTTGTCTCAAATTACACAGCCACACACAAAAAAAAATGTACGAATCCGGTGTCAGAATTGAGTTATCACATCACAGGAATTTCCTAACCTCAAAAAACAGGTCAAAAATAGCAAAAATTCGCGAAAAAGTGCTAGGAAATATACAAACAATTTTTTTTCTATATTCAAATGTTCATTTATATGGTTCATACCCCGCCGAATGTGAATCCGCGGTCAGAATTGATGGTTCTTTTTCTAACCTCAAAAAAACGGATCAATAAAGGTCAGATATCACGAATTTTCAAAAAATAACAGATTCGCGCCAAATTTGGTATCCGGAGGTTTTCGGGGTCGCTGATCACGGATCCGAGGCCAATTTTACAAAATTTCAGATGGCGGATCCAAGATGGCACCAAATCTTCAAAAAATAACAGATTAGGGCCAAAAAGTGACCGCAAAAATCGCTCGTTTTTTTCAGAATTCATAGAGAACTAAAGAAAATAGATAAAAATATGTATTTGGTCTCAAATTATTCGTCGTAAAAAATTAAGATGAGCGTAACTTTTAGTTTTTTGAAAATTTTCAAAAATCACCTCTATTTAGGGGTTGAAAAGACACCCAAAATAAAGAACTGAATATCACCAATAAATATGAAAACTATTAGCATGTGAATTTTTCTATCGAATAATTCTTGATACAGAAAAAGATTTATTCTCATGACTAAAATAAGCATGTTGAATTAGAAAATCTACCCTTAAGCGCGCTTAGGGGGTGGAATCATCCCCAAAAATAGAGAATATCAGAAATAATTGTAAAATTTCCAAAAAAAAATATATTAAGATAATTCACATGCTAATAGTTTTTATATGAATTTTTAATATTCAAATTCTTCATTTTTTGCATTTTTTCAACCCCTAAGTAGGGGTGATTTTAAAAATTTTCAAAATACTAAAAGTTATGCTAATTTCAGTTTTTTACGACAAGTAATTTGTGACCAATAACATATTTTTATGTATTTTTTTTTAATTCTCTGCGAATTGTGAAAAAATTGGCGAAAATCACAGGTTTTTTGCGGACACTCTTTGATATACGGGGGTTTTCGGGTCGCTGATTACGAATTTGATATCAGAATTGCGAAATTCATTTTGTAATATTTTTGTTTACTTCGTAACCTGAGTACCCAGTCGTGTTCTAACCTTCTTTTCTCGGCTATATCTTGTTCTTTTTCCTGTAAAAGATCTATTCACGGGTTTTCTGCCTAATCTCAGGTCATACAGTAGATTTTTAAAAACGTATTTTGTAAATCTGATTTCGGATTCGTTATTAGCGACTTAGAGAACCCCCGTATACCAAATTCGGCCCGAATGTGTTATTTTTTTAAATTTTGATCACCCATCTTGGATCCGCCATCTTGAATTTTGCAAAATTGACCTCGGATCTGTGATCAGCGACCCCGAAAACCCCCGTATACCAAATTCGGCGCGAATCTGTTATTTTTTGAAAATTCGTGATGTCTGACCTTAACTGACTCCCTTTTTTTTGAGGTTAGAAAAAGAACCATCAATTCTGACCGCAGATTCACGTTCGACGGGGTCTTAACCATATAAATGAACATTTGAATATAGAAAAAAAAATTGTTTGTATTTTTCCTAGTACTTTTTCGCGAATTTATGCTATTTTTGATCTGTTTTTTGAGGTTAGAAAATTCCTATGATATGACAGCTCAATTCTGACACCGGATTCGTGATCAGGAGGCAAAAATACTACGGATAACAAATGTCGCATGAAAAATACAGACAACTTTTTTTTGTGTGGCAAAAAAAAGCAAAGCATTATTTTTAACCTTCAGTGGCATCTTATAAATTGATATTATATTTTATTTTGTGCAGTCGGGAGAATAACCAAAGGTTGTTAATTTAATATCGTTCAAATTAAATAACACAGGCCCACAAACAGAAATCGAAATGTTCCTTTTCCCAGACGATCTCGGTGTCCATATGACCCCATCACGTCTAGATCAAGGCTAAATGAAGGTCAAACACATTAACTCGAATGATACAATTTTTTTAATCCCAGATTCTGATTTGTAGAGGTCATTAATCTGATATCTTGCTTCCCAGACGACTTATCAGCCGAGATCGCAAAAACGAGGATTTAAACTACATATGACCTGCAAATAACTTTCCGCTCTTTCAGAATTCGCGGTCAAAAAAATTGTATAATCCGAGTTAATGTATGTGACCTTCATTTAACCTTGACCTAGACGTGATGTATCATATGAATACCGGGATCGTGACCAGCTACCTCAAAAACATGAAGGTCAACTGGTTCGACACCCATTCCTAGCTAAGATATCAGCCGAGAGAGATCAAAAGAAGGATTTGACCTTTAGATGACCTTCAGATGTCGGTGCGACCAACAAGTCCAAGCGTATTTGAACGTAAAATTTTTTAGCTCTTTCAGAATCCGAGTACCAAAAATTGTATCATTCGAGTTAATGCGTTTGACTTTCATTTGACCTTCAGACGTGATGGGGTCATATGGACACTGGGACCGTGATCAGCGACCCCGAAAACATAAAGGGTACCTAGTCTGGGAAAAAGGAATTTTCGATTTCTGTTTGTGGGCCCGTGTATGGATTTTTGGTAAGAAATTTTCCAATGATGTTTAAACTGTGATGGTTTAGTTCATACAAATACCAGCAGCAGTAATTTTCCAAAGGGACATATTTTATACGAAAAAGAGAAGTGACTTAAAAAAATATTTAATTATTGCGAACTTACCATCCTCTGAAGTTACGGCCTCGATAGCGAGGACTGGTCCAAGCTGTCTAACTCTGGGCCCTGGTATGATCAAGCTTGGTTCTAAACCGGCGTGGTTGTACCACCTGTAAAGGGGAGTTAGTATACAACACTCAAAATAGTATATTTTCTTTGAGTAACCGATAAAAAAAATTGACTATCAGCAGTTCAAAGATATTAGTTCCATATTGGAATGGGTTGTTTGAAGAGTATTTCTGACAATGTCAACAACAATTCAAAGTAAACCAAGGAGAATGAGAAACGGAGCTGGTGTTTTGTTGACCAAGAAGATTTGGTCTTGCTGTGATGAAGAAAAACTGTTACTTCAGGTGTGTAATAGAAATTCTTCAAATCGATAAAAGATTTAAGAACTAGAAACAAAAGATATGATCCACCGAGTTGTCATAAATTGGACAATAAAAAACTAATTTTTAAAAACATAACTCTGAAGGCAAAAGACCATATCGGAAGTTATCCGGCATATCAAGACTTTCCCTGTTCTACTAAATCCAAAACACCGCCTGTTAGGGGAATGGAATTGGGTGAATAATTTATCAGAGTAAATCGAAAACATAAAATATTTAGGGAAAGCTTAAGGACGAACTTGCGCCGCAATATCTCCATTCTATACCTATTGGGAGACCTGTTTTATGATTGGGGTCTGACATATGTCCTACACGGTCCTCATTAGAACACAAACAACTCGGTATTGTTCAGCGTCGTGTATAGAAATAGCGTCCATCCCAGTAATAACCCAATTCTAAATAATGTTAACATCACCGCGTTATTAGATATTTTTTTAATACGCAGAACATGTAACACAATAACATGTTGTTGCTTGTTCATTACATCAATCCATCCGATGTATAATATTTCGCTTATGAGAGGGAATTGCACAGGTACACGGATGGATGGAAAAAAATACACAATTAAGTGCAATGCCAATTAGGCGGAATAATAAAACCTAGTGAAAAAGATGTTTCCCTGGCAACGGCTGACGTCATCCGCTACTGTTAACGCCGGTGCAGTAAATATGTGAACTTTGATGTTGAAATTAATGACAAAGCTTTGTGCCGGACTCTATTTTAATACGGTAATTAAAAAATTCCGCACTGATACTTTCGCGGCGCCATATGTCATTAATTACGTAGCGAAAAATACGAAACGATAAAATGTTACCAAATAAATTTATTTCCTACGAGTAAGGAGACGTGCATCACAAGTGAATGTCATTGCGTCTAACGTAATGGAAAAATATTACATTTAGTATCGTCCAGTTTAAAAATGAGTGTAGCTTTGTAATTTGAAAATAAATAATATTCAAAGTGTGTTAGACTTTTAGTTTTAGATGGAAAAGTTGGCAGCATTTTGCAGGGACACATGTTCATTACAAGTACGGAGAGTGTGTAGCTGAGACTGTGCCCAAATTATGTGGAATTTTCGTTAGAAGGAACGCCACGAATGAAACAATTGAAAGAATAAGTTGCCAAATTTGAACAAACGGATTCGATTACAGACAATAAAAACACCGGCTGGAGTCGTGGTACCAGCTGTTAGCAAAAACCGTGAGACACTTAATAATTTACCTGTATTCGGGAGCCGGGCATCCTTGAGCAATACAAATCAGTGCCGCCCCTTCGTCTTGGGCCACAGTCACCGTGCCCGAATTCTCCACTATCACTGGAGACACAATACCTCGATGTTCTGAAACAAACGAATCTGAGAATAAATTTTGTATTGTGTGGAACTAAGGTGAACTGGGTAACACGTAATCATCGACAACGGAGTGGAATTGTACCAGTTAATAACCGAGAGGCACGTTTCCTTTGACACAATGTATGATTCGCAGATATTAGGAATTTAATAGTCAATTAATTTGTTATAAAGGCCGACAATCAATCTCTGTGAGCTACTCATGGAACGAGTTGCATTGTGTCGAGGCTGCAGTCAGTTCTATCTTGAAGTAAAGCAACGTTTGCGCTGGATCCAGTTATATATTCGTATAGTTCATAAGATTTATCGACGTAATAATAGTGCGTTATTGGAAACCAGTAGCGGGCATATTGTAAATAACTATACATATATAATCTGTCAAAAAAGTATTCGAAATTTGCGAATTAAATATTNTTTTTTGTGCAATAATTGAATAATTAATATCGCGTCTATGTATTCAAGATGATTTCCATTCAACCATGCTATGATTTCACCTAATTCATCGACGACGATAAGGCGCATTAGCCATGACAGTCACTGCAACCGGTTCGATTCGAGGGGAAGAGGGGGAGGGAGAGAGAGAGAGGAAGAGAAGAGAGAGAGGAAGAGGGGAAAGAGAGAGAGAGGAAGAGGGGGAGAGAGAACGAGAGAAAGAAAGAGGGGAGTGATAGAGGGAGAAAGAGAAGGGGAGAGAGAAAGAGAGAGGGAGGGAGGGAGGGAGAGAGAGAGAGAGAGGAAGAAAGGGAGAAAGGGAAAAAGAGGGAGAAAGGGAGAAAGAGGGGGAAAGGGAGAGAGAGGGATGGAGAGATGGAAAGAGAGAGAGGGATGGAGAGATGGAAAGAGAGAGAGGGAAAGAGAGAGGGAGAGAAAAAGGGTGAGTATCCCCGTAAAAGACCAGATTTATGAAAGGACAATTCTTAGATTTTGCACTACGATAATGCATCATCACACAAAACGATAAATTATAACTAAATTTTTTACCAAAAACTCAACGAATGTCATCCAGCAGCCACTGGATCACTGGAGCAGCAATCAAATAAATCACATCGGCCCTCACTTGAAAGGACGTACAGTATTTAGCACCAAGTAGATATGTATTCAGAAATGATCAGTTGACATAAAAATTAAAAACTTTTAGTTTAATTCTGATAGTGGATTTTTAAATTTGATATTTAACCAGTTTCTGACAAAACGTGCTTTAATTTACATCTGATATACGTCAACAAGCCTATACCGATGACGTGGCAACTCGCCCAGTAACTCTTTAGCTGTTAATGATTATTATTTAAGCTTTTATATAAGAAATATCAGTTATACGTATCTACAAACATATATTTTACCCCTTGTGGCAATTTTTGGTAGCAAATATCCAAAAGGAACGACAGATAAATGGAGATACGCCCGATGTAGGCAGAGATGAGTTTCTAATTTAATATCCTCCATACTTCATGTAGCCTCAGAACTTTTATATACTATTCATTGAATATCATCACCCCAATTTAGGAACGGGCTCCCTCGAGTTAAGTTATGAAGCCAGAAGAGGGACGCAACTTGGCGTTATTATCTTTTATGGATAAAAAGTGCTTTCAAGTGGATTTTAAATTGCCTCATTTTTAAATCGAGGCAATGGTAGATTGAAGGAAAACATAATTTCCCTTTGTGTGGCGATTCTAATTCCAATTCTGTTATTGCTCTTGGAAAAGGGTTCGTCTTGTTGGATTGTATCATTTTTTTAACAGGTTAGCGCCCCGATGACTCTAACAGATAAAAATAAATAAACAAATAAAAGAAATAAATACGTTAGACTCTTTACTATTTTGTGACGCTTATAAGACAAAAAAGGTAGACAAATTTCTGATACAACAACTAGAACATTTACTTACCGGTAATTCTGACGTTGGCAGGGCTGCTCACGACGACCTGCCGGCTGAGCCGGTGCATGGTCCTGCAGCGGTACGTGGGGAACTGGTCACTGAACTCCAGATTATGGATGAGCAGTTCTCCCGAGGGCAGTTGATGGAACTTCCCGTCTGTAAATGTCAGACAGCCGCAATTAGTAGGGGTTTCTAACTGGCTTAGTTCTGTACAAGTTGTTACACGGGGATGACTGTTTGGAGCTTTTAAAGAACGAATTATGAGCCCCCGAACCAGACGACGGCCGTAAAAGTCGGGAGTTGGTCTTGAGTTGAAAAATACTAAGCTGAAAGTTAGCAGCAACGAAGACAGAGGTAATGGGACAGCGTTGTGGTAGGGGGAATCGTTAGATGTGATTTTTTGGCATTGATTCGTCAATTTGAACCGTTTTTTCAACTCCATTGATTTTCTTTGCTATTCGGCACATATACCTCTGCTACAGTGGACTGTTTCCGTTGACGTCGCCTTAAAACAGAATTTTAAGACTTTCCGATTGAGAAATATAAATTTTTAGATGTTATGTCACTTAAAACGTATGACCTTGAAAACATAAACGACTATTGGTTACTACAGCGTAGTTGAAGTAAAAGAGAAAGTAATTACACCCATAAAGTATTTGTATATGTGAAATAACGTGACATCCAAAAGAGACACTAAACCAAACCTGGTCAAACCAGCATTAAAGGGACTCTATTGCTACTTATTGGAAGCCAGTTGCAGTGTACACTTGAATTAAGTCGGCCTTCGAATAATGCATGAAAAACTTGAAAAGCTTTGTTGCTAATAATAATATACCGTCCCCACCCTCGCACAAGCAATTTCATTCGCGCGTACGTTTCCGACGTTAAGACGCACCACAAACCTTCGCGTTTCCTAATCGTATGACACCAGTTAGTTTGGCACTTCCATGTTTCCGATCTAATTCGGGAGGATTGACGAATATCAAGGATTTCGCGGGGCAAACAATGGAACGTCACCTATACTAATGTATTGCCGGGGTGCCCGATGACAGGGAGATTAATTCCTGGATTAAATTAGTTTCGCAGTAAACAGGGTCGTGTTTTGAAATTCCGCTTGTTGACTTATAAGCTTAACCCGCGTATTAATAAACATAAGTAATTTACTTTCTCTCCGACACTTTCGCGGGATGGATCGATGGCCTCGGTAGTTTCCGACGTTTGCGGCAGTCTTGGGCGATGCGAAAAGTTACGTTTACGTCCTGTTTTGCATAATTTCGGTTAGCATTATGACTTAGTGGAAGTCAGGGATTTATCTCTACCTGTAAAGAGAGTGTACAAAATGTTACAGCGAAGTTACGACAAACTTTCAGCGCTAATTCCCGTCGTGAAAACAAACGAAAAACAAAAGGAATTATCTTTTTTTTAAATTATTTCAAGGGACTCAAAGACACAATAAAAGGGTCAGTAAAAACAGGTTAACTGAAGCAGAGAATCTTTACAGATTCTGATGGCCAGTAATCAATCAAAACTTATAATGTACTTGCAAGGATGGACTTGGAAACCCCTCTATTTGAAAAAACTCGAAATACGTCAAAATAAAACGACTTCATAATACAAAAATAATAATAATAATAACATTATTTCAATCGGACATATTTCACAGAATTTTTAGTGCTTTTGGAAGGATTCGACATCTGATCTTTCCCCACAAAATATATCGACTCAGTAATAATCGATTTCCGTAATAATTATAATCAATCTGTCTCTTCCTGCTGATCTAAATAATTATTATCCGTTTCGACATATTATTTCTGATAATTTTAATCATGTTCTCTTTACGCTTATACTATTTTAAGGGAAAAATTTTCGATTCGCCGCTCCCTTTAATAAAAAATTATATATATCCTGATATATAACAAGAAATTCATATTTATTTCGAGTAAAGCGAAGCATGTGTCTCGCTAGAGAGCGGACCTAACTTCATATTGTAGCCGGCAAATTCTTTCCGCTTTAAAACATACAATGAGCCCGGCGACGACGGCTCACAGCTACGCTGCTTCTGCCTCTCACAAAGGAACTTTTCCTTTCGAGAACTTCGTTTTCCTAAATTACGGGGCTGCAGGCCCTCAAACAGCTACAAGGCTTGCCATTGTTACCTAGAATTCTTTTCAAACAGTCCTTTTATTCGTTCACTGAAACGGCTTCAGTCAGCACCAATTTGCACCCCCATTATTATCTGAAATACGTTCCCGATAATGAAAATATCCCACATCCGCCCAATATATTTATTTCGCAAGCAGGAAAAGAAGTAAACACGTGGGGAAACATTCGAAAACCAGCAATAAGTCGTTATTTTGAAAAGTAAAAAAATGAATTTCTTCTTCGTTATGTTTCTAAATTAATTCAGTTTTTGTCATAAGACGTAGATATTGAATATCAAACAATCTGTTCAGGTATTTTTTGTCTTAAATAAATCCCCACGAACGAACACTCTGTACATTATGTTGATGGCAACTACAAGTTAAATTGATTCAATCTGCAACAACTGCACTTGTATTATAAGAAAACGCGACTGATTCGTAAGAAAAGTAAAACACCTTTTTCTGGGTGTCTCATTAGAGGAAATTTTGATTTATTCAGATAATATTTTCGCCAGTTTCCACTTCAGAGAACTGGGTCGCGACGACAGTCTCAAATTAATGAACGTCGAGTATCAAAGAGGGGCTCCTTAAAAATGTCGCACCGCTAGTTCCTTTTATTCAGTTGTTACCGGGTTTTGACGTTTCGATAGTGTTTTTATGCACATTGAGTGCCAGCCACCTCTTCACGGTGACGTTTGGGCGAGGGGTTATCCGAGGGCACAATTAAAAAGCGACGCGTTAATTTTTCTTACAAGAATTCAAAAACAAAAATTGTTTATCATAAAATATATATCACCAGGAAGTTTCTCGAATACTTGGATTAACATTTCAAGGAATAATAATTCCTGTATTCCTTTTGAAAAATATCTCAATAGCCTTTGTAGACTTAAAATTTGTACAAAATTTTGAAGATATTCACCATAAATTGAAATCATGTCTGTAAGTTCCGTTGTTGTTAAAATCCGTGTGATATTTTTGGAAAAAAAATCACTACCCACTAAAAAATGCACTAGCAAGCGCCAATCTCATCAATTTTAAATATCTCTTTTATTATAAAACTTGTATTAGACTGATTTTTTTTTGAAACGCATAAAATGTAAACCCCACCTTCGAATGCTCCCCATAATCTGATATAGGCTATAGAAATAATAGTACAGTCATTGAAGCTTTTCACCTCCAAATTATTTGAAACTGAACCGATCGACTTGAAATTTGGCAGATAGTTAGAGAAAAGGTCAATGAACATTAGTAACATAGCGCTGATTGACGCTTCCACCCTGTTGGAGGTTGACACCCCTTCTCGGGGGTGGATTTTTTTTCACAAATAACGCTGGAAATCGATAGTGAATCAAATTTTGAGCAAAAAATATTCAAAGATTTTTTTCGAGAAATCAGTAGTTTTTTAGTTATTCGCGATTGAAAACTTGGAATTTTGAGTGAAAAAAACAGTTTTTCAAAGTATTTTTTGCGAATAACTCAAAAACTACGCATTTTATTAAAAAAGTGTAATGAACAAAAATGTAGCTTATAAATAAACAAAGAAAATCGTTTTTAAAAAGTGTTGTATGTCCTATACAAAGCGAAATATGGTTAGTGGAAGGGGACTTGTTTTGGGGGGAATACTCGAGTCGATGTATTCAACGTCAAATAACGGAAAAAGGATTAATTTTACGTGTATAACACTCTTAGAATTTTTTGTAGTACTCAAAAAGACCTTCAAAATGAGCACTATAAAAGTTAATTAGCGCAAAATTGAAGGAGTTATCGTCAAAAACAGATGGGTTGCTCATATTTTTTAAGGAAAAATGAGCAGTAAACGCTGTACCATTTCCATCAGAATTAAAATTAATCGTGGACCCTTTACAATTAGTTTTATTTTAGTATTTTTCATACGATCCTAAAGTTAGACCGATTTAGAATGCGTATTTTTTTAATATTGTCGGTAAAAATTGAAAACGTATTTTTCATTATTCAAAAAAAATAGCCTTATTTCTATAGTAACTCTGAAAGGTAAATGTAGCTTTTTTTTCAACAAATATTTTGCTTTTTTTATTCCTATAGCATAAAAAATAAAGGAGATATCGCCGCTAGAAGTATCCATTTTAGTGAAAAACGACCTGTCTCGAGCCCTTCGATCCTTTCCCTTTAAAAAACGAAGAACTTAAAAGGTTTTATATGCAAATGATCTTACAGCAGTTGAAATTATCTCTAAAATGCTTTTTTGTGGGATACTATAGCTTCAAAATTAACCGAGTTATGGTACAAAAACCAATGACATTTTTTCGGAGCAAAATAGGCTTTCTCATTTTTATATATGATTGATTATATTTAAAAATCGATTATAATAAAAATATTTTACATTAATATTGGTAAAAGGGTAGTTTTTAAGAGTTGAAAATGGCAAAAGTAAAATATTCTTTCATAAACAATATAAGGGAATTTTTATTTTAAATTGTTGCACAATTATAACATTCCAAGATTTAAAACGTAATTTTTTATCATTTTTTTAGCACAGGTGTGATTTATAAGGGTTGAAAAGTGTTATGAGATACAAATTCATTCATAAGCAATGAGGGAATTTTTATTTTAAATAATTGAACCGTTAAAGCATTCCAAGCTTTTAAAAAGTAATTTTTAATCATTTTTGTCAATACAGGGGTGTTTTTTAGGGGTTGAAAGAGAAAATTATTTTATTAGCTATAAGGTAACTTTTATTTTAAATAATTGCACGATTTAATCATTCCAAATCTTTAAAAAGTAATTTTTTATCATTATTTTTTTAAATAAAGGGTCGAAAAGATCAAATATATCATAAAATATGTTCGAGAACATGGAACATTATTTAATATTTGTGCTTAAACAAGATTTTTATCAATAAAATGCTTGAAACTTAATTTTTTCAATTTTTTTCACTTAGGGGTAGTTTTTACCCCTAAAAAACAAAAAGCAATCGGGCTTATGTCACTTTTGAACTTGATCCTAAGATGAGCCATATTCTAAATTTCATTTCATGCAAATCCATGCAGTTTCAAAAAATTCAAAGGTTACAGCTGATCTTCAGCTTCAGACTGTACTATGAAGACCATTAGAGGAGATATATCTAATGAGCTGGATTCCACCCGCAGGCCTGTTTTGGAAAACCCCGTGCTAAAGCACGAATTTATTGGATTTTGATTACGGTTCACACACGGATCGAGAATATTCCCAGCAGCACTCAATTTCAGCCCAGTTAGATAAAATACATAATTACGGACAATCCTTATAATCCTCGTACGATTCCGGTATTAATTCACGCGATATACCTACTACTCTTTTTTTTTTTGGTAGACGTACATTAATTTTATATCTGGCTGGTATTTCGAGGGCTAAAATCCCTGGTAACAAAGCGGGGAATCTCCCAGTTGCCTCCGTCGCGGACCAACGTAACAAAGACCCCGATGTACTATAACGAGCAGCCCCAAAGAAACCGCACCGCGCACACTATTAAGCTTTTAAAGTTGCAGCTTTTACGGTCTTTCACACCTACCATTACTCTTTAACGAGGCGGAAGAATGCATTCCTTTAAACGTTGCGCGGAACCGTGGAAAATGTCCAACTTTGCCCCCAATCCTTCAAGATGGTGCATGGAAGAATAGTTCAATTTTTTTTTGTTTATGAATGTAGTAGCCTCAATAAATATATTTTGCTTTCTGGGAAATTACGAGCCATATAAATTATACTTTGAATTATCCGAGATTATCCCAAATAAATGTATTTAGCAAATGAGATAAGAATAAGTAGGCTGTGAACATAAATTAGTTGTTGTTTATTAGGGTACATAAGCACAAACCGAGTAGGCAATGACCCGGATAAGTGTTAATTAGGATAGGGTAATAAAAGTAGGTACCTGGGGACAAGGATAAAACCGAAAACATTTCGAGGCACGGACCAGAAGTCAGGAAGCCTAGTCCCTGCTCGGTTGTGTCTCGTGTTACCAGCGAAATTAGTAGAATAAAGTTTTCCATGCTACTTAAGAGTTTTTCTCCTCACTTGAAGACCAAACCACTACATGAATAACCGCGAATAGCATAAATAGTAAATTTAACGACATAACTATCTATTTCTAAATCGGTGCACGTACCTGCATGCACGTCATCTTCCGGCGAATATTTATAACAAAGTATTTGCGAAGCTGACGAACATATCATTTGAAACTTTACGTAACCGTGCTGACTACAATTCACTACCTTTTATGTCGGAGATAGTAAACGCCGTATCTATTTCAGTTACTTTGAAAATGTACACGCGGCGCATACGTATGTTTCATTGTATAAATATGACACATTCCGTCGGACGAGATAGGATCCATTTGTTCCTAAAGGGATGCCATAAAATATACGCCTTAGTCTGCAGTCGCTCTCGAGAGAAAAGATTTACTGGGGCGCTATTTTTACGGATGACGGTTGCGAGCTTCAGATAACGTACGTAGCTCAAACTCGGGGCCCCTTTATTTGGTTAATTTAACAGCATAAAAAAGGCGGGGAGGAATTATTAAACGTTTGACTTCAACTCGTGTGATGAAGAAAGATAGTAAAGATACAGTGTCCAATTTAGGAATGCTCTTTGTAAACAGAATTCCTTTTCTGAACACTTACCACATTGATACAACGAAAACTTTTTGGAACCGCTGACCAAACCGACAGCTCTGCTTCTATTTACAAGTATAGGTGCATTGTAATTTACAATAAAACTTGAACTAGTAATCATCTATTTACTATAGGAAAGGGGACAAAGACAGGGCGACCCGCCCTGTTCGGTCACAACTATTCACCTCCTTTTATGCAGTATGTAAGTAGGGGACGATTTCAGAGGTTCTCAACAAGTTTCAACAATTTTTTTATTATAATTAATTTTATGTATCGCTTTTATGATTTTGATTATTATTGTCTACCACTACAAACTCCTACAAAATTTGTAAATATCCTGTACAAAATCCAATGACGTTTTCTAAAACTAAATAGCACTGCTTGCAGGCTTCTGTGACAATTGTTAATGGTTGAACAACTTTCGGAATGATTGCCATATCGGCTATTTAGACTTCTTGACTTTCGAGGACATGCCGTTCCCTTCTTCAGCTCAATAAGTCTCAGTTCAAAATCATACATGAGTTTGATTTTTTTTTAATTATAAATGGTTTACATAAAAAACTTGTAAATATTAATTTCATCATTGATATTTATAATGTTTTAAAAATTAATTGATATTATGATAAAACTAGGTCAAAACGAGAATTGTCAAAGTCAAAAATATGAAAGAAATTTTGAATGGAAAAAATAACAGTATATAAGGTTTATATTTCCTAAGAAAGTAACTCTGCAAGGGGTTTTATAAATCTGTCATAACTTCAAAATTTGTTTTGCTTTTTATTGTGCGAAATTTTGGGCTAAGCTTAATTTAATGGCAATTCATTAGATCCACACCAAATGCTAAGCCTACCGAGATTTTCCTGGAGATCAACGCAGTCCTGAAAGATGTTTATCCTTAAATTTATTTTTATATCCTCAGTATGTAGAAGGTAAGGCACATTCAAACAACTAACAAGATTATTAATGAAAATGCTGAATAACAATGGGCTCAGGACTGACCCCTGCGGAACACCGGAGATGACTTGAAACCTCCGAAGCACTTATATCAACTTGTATATAATAAATAATATATAGTAAACAAATAAATAATTTCCCTTTGTTGCTAACTTTTAACTAAATGTACTATTCTAGTTGCTTACCTCCCTGGAGAGACGGATAAATGAAGAAAGTAGGTTCTTGAACCCATGATATAATCCTAACTAAGTCTTTGACAAAATTTGGCACAATGCATTTTAACACTGCTGTGCAGCCTCGTGCTGCTCCGATCACCTCCACGTCAACTTTGAAAGCCTGGGTAACCACTGAAAAAAAAAATCTTATTGAAAATACAATTTACGTATAATGATAACCATTAAATTAAAACCTTGGGTGGTAGGGCATATTATTGTTTTGTAGGCCCTTTTGTAGATTATAAGAGGTATATGTAATATTTCAAACGGCACCTTCTGATATATTTTGCGACCAATTTTCTGTACCTACGAAAAATACCATGCATTACTAACTAGTGAGTACAACAAACATTTCAATGCAAAGCTCTGTGGCCCCCGATCATAATTGGATTGATATGATCAATGAAAGACAATCTATTGTCATATGTCACACTTAGATCCTTAACATTATCACCGCATGCCAGTAATGCATCATCAGTAGTGTAATTCAATATTAGGGTCCTTTTTTTAGAAGTAAATGACCAACTCTTCTAGTATTAAACAATCTTTCAAGTTAGATTCGTTCAAAAATAGCTTCAAGTCATCAACAAAAAATAGACGATTATATTTTAGAGACAGAGATAAATCGTTAATAAATAAAGTAAAAAGAAGTGGCCCCAAATTTGTTCCTTGGGGTACTCCAGATGTTGCTTCAAAATAGCTGTTGAATGTAATATAGTTTACGTTGAGAAAGATAAGATTTTTTTGATTTAACTTTGTTGTCCATATGATATGCTGTATACTGAGTAAATTGAACCAGATTGGATACAGTAGATCGTTTTGGAACAAAGTTATGTTGATTTGGCAAAATATAAACATCGACAATGCTAAAGATTAGAGTATATAGAGACATCTCGAAAATATTTGCGAAGTTTGAAAGGATTTATCGAAAAAAAAAAAAAAATTATATATCTCTGATTTGGTTTGGTTCGTAAATTCTCTGTAGTTGTGACTAGCAGTCAGTACCATGTACTTTCAGATTTTGGAACACATGCACGCAGCGTAAATCATCCTTGATTAAGCAACCGCTTCATATGGATACATTAAGGCGAAACGTAGAATATTCCGTCTGTACACAAATTTCCTCTTATCTTGCTTATAATTGTCTGGATACCGTCCAAGTTCCCCCTTAAATAATCCCCGGACGCGGTAACATAAAGGGCAGATAACTCTGAATAACTTTGCTACAAGAGTTGTGTAATGAGAGAACATTAAATCTCCACGGGCTAATGTCACCCGAGTAATAACAAAAAAAAAAGGCAGTGCGTCGTTTTCGCTCGGAATAAAAAGCTACAGCTTCCATCAAGTCTCAGTCGCGGCTGGATTATGTTTGTAAATTGTGTACGGATTGTTCAAATTAGATGTAGAAGATGGATTCGAAACGAACGAACAAGTGGAATTTTTTTTCCGGATGAGATATTGAAAGGAATAACCTAAAAAAAATATTAAAAAACAGTAAAACGAAAAAGCCCGTCAGCTTCGATTCAATTCAACTCGATTCTTTTCATATTTTTCTTCATCAGCAACGTATTTATTTCCATTCTGTTTGTTTTACTTGTTACGTGCGGTCCAAAATAAATATAATCGATATCCAAGGTGTTCATAACTTAGCATGTGCCGTCTGACCACATCGACAATTGTAAAATATTCCCTGGCGCATACCTACGTTCCGTACATTATTCTTGCATTAAATACGAGAGAGAGAGAAAAGCGACTGACGCCTCGAGGCTAAAAGTACCACGCTGAAAGGAAAATAAACAACATGCAAACACATAGAAATGCAGAACAAGCTACCGTCAGCTCTGTTGAAGTGAGTAAATGTTGGGATTGTTCGGTGGCGCAAATTGTTTTTTTTACAGTATTCTTTCATACATGGTCGTATTTTCTAGACCTGTATAAAAATTCTTTCAATAAATATTTATGTGAGAATAAAGACTTTTCAGTAACAATAGCGTATGAGACCCTACATTTGATTTTTATCCAGGCCAGTGTATTGTATCTGCACAATTGTATATCGTCTGTAACCTTCTACATTTCATAGCACTTGGTAAATCAAATATAAAAATATAAAACGAAACTGGTCCCAAGATGCTACCTTGTGGTACTCAACTTTTTAGTAGTTTTAAATGTGGTCTTAATTCACGATTACCGCAATATAGCATCCTCGTCAAGTCCAGTATAAAATAACTTTGTTAATAAAAGCTCAAATCGATTGCCTAAACACATTTGGGTCCGTCTTACTCAGTTTCTACGAACTAACACAAATGTTATTTCTTCACCATAATACAAAATGTTGTCTTGCTTCACCATAAATTAAAACGATATCCGTCAACTCCTAGTTGCTATACACGCAAGCCATTTTTGACACTAACTACTAAAAAACTATTGTAAACACCACAGAAAACAGGTAAACACTAATGCAACGACGATTGTAAAATCGGACTTCACTATTCGGAGTCGCTGACGCCACATGGCTCTCCACGCGTATGACGCTACAGACTACAGTTGCCCCAGCTATGTAATAGTTGAATGTACTACAACTTCAATAATTTTTTTTTCGGAAATTATAAAGATTTTACAATTTTTTTTCAAGATATTGACTCTATTTCTCATGCCGCATCTATTCCCAAATTTTTTTGGACAAGTTGTGAATCACCCTGTATAGTATTGAATATATAATTATCATATATTATAATTTTATTAAATACAAACAAATCAGGATATCTGCTTCTTCTGGTCGACCTTGCTCAACCAAAATGACCTGTCTGTCTTAAAGGAGTGATAAGCAACGAAATAAAAATAAATTACGGGCAGGAAAGTGCACCAAGAGGAATGATAAAATGGCAGATAATTACAGTGGGTATTTTCAGGTCCGCGTCTGTTTTGAAGTTAAACAAACATAATCACCCCATCAATCATCAGAAGGGCCGGAGATTCCACACGAAAAAATTACTGAATAAATAAGGCCGGGTAAATATGGATATTTATCTTGCGAACTGCGTATTTCCTTATTAAAACGTTGTTTATTATTTGTAAACATTTCATATTTTTCTGTACTAACTTTTTGATTTACGTAAAGTTAAACAATTTTTTTACAGTACAATTATGGCAATAATTACGATCTTTGGTTTCCCGAAACGCACAAATTTAGACTACAAACTATAATTGATTAAAAAAAATTACATTACTTACTAATAATTTTATTTAATATTGTTGTGTGCAAAAAACATCGTTACAGATGAATCAAAATCACGAATAAATGTTTGCTATATCATGTATTATGCAATATGTAAAGTAAGTATTAAATTTTATAGAAAATTTAAATACGGTTACAATTCCCTTTTTTACTTTGAGAGAGCCGCAATACAATGGCGTGCCAAGCGAGTGAACCGACACATGCGTGAACCGCTGCCTCAGATTGCTTTTCACGTTCATGTCACGTTAGTATACTGTTGCCTTTGTTATCGTGCGGATTCCTATCCGTTAGTGATTATGGTGATTTATTGTAGAAAATTGAATTTGCTGCTTTTTCATAAATAATGCGTACGCCTATGTCCCGCGGCTCAGTCCTGACAGCCTTACCTATCACTCACCTGCTCTAACTTGGACATCCCTGCTGATGATCCTACCGACGTTGTTGCTCGCCACACACCTGTAAACAGTGCTGTGAATGTCTTGACGGTAGGCCTGAGCAGCGAACGGCTGCAGGAATAGCGTGCCGTTCCTGAGCACTCGCCGAATGCCGGACACGTCACCCACGGAGGTGCCATCCACGGAAAGCCAGTCGATGGAGGGCTGGGGGCTTCCGGAAGCGGAGCAGTCCAACCAGCCCCCACTGGAGTTGGAGAATTCGAGCCTCGACGGTGGTTCCATGACGAAGGACGGGCCCCGCAGGTGCGAGTCGAAAGTCAGTGCCGGTTCTGGAAATAACAGATTTTGTTTTTTATTCCTACATTTTTTTCTGAGGGGCTGAAATTCAATAAAATTTACTGGAATGCAGTCTATTATTAATAGTTCTAACCGAGTAAAATTTGAAAAAAACTTTAGCGGTATCAGTAGTGTGAATATATTGGGGTGATGACGTCAGCAACGAGACTCTAGCATCGCAAAGATGGAGGTCGATATACAAAAACGAGCTTGAACATCGCGCTTTTGACAAATTCAGTGTAACTTTTTACTATCCCTTCTAGAAAATTCTGAAAGTAGATTTAATATTTTAACATCAAGTACCTATTATTGTGCATTCATTAAATAATCAATTACAAGCCTTATTTTAACGCTTCCGCGTGATACTTATTACCACCACTTTATGGGAACCTCTCCCTTATATTCCAAGTGAAAAGTATTATAAAGACTCACCATCCGAACTTCAAACCGTCTGCTACTGTAAGCTCCAACTAATTGTAATCAGTCGACTGGTACAGTTCGATAGAGAATAAAAGATAATCGCACAGCCAAAAGGACATTATCCGAACGAACATCTCATTCGCTAGGGTGGAGGATTATCTCTCATATCTTTGACTGGGTAAATTCTTTCAATCAACGCCTTTGGGCCCGTGAGGATTACGGATAGATCCCGCATGTCCTCTTTAATTCATTTTACTCATCTCGCGCGAAACTAGAGACTTGAAGCTTCATAATGATTTTTTTTATCTCGATATCACAATTTTTCACACCTTTCGACAATCACTAAAGCATTTTTTGTTCCTTTAATCTTTTCCAGTAGTGTATAAGTGAACATTTCTCGAGGGAAATTTTTTTTAGTTTTCAAATCAAATGATTGAGGCAATATAACTAGTGACAATCGAGAAACTTGGAGGGCGATAAATGTCTAGACATAAAACAATATTCACCACCCCAAATCACTCGAACGATCTTAAATTGGATATTCATTATATGTTTACTTATGTCTTTAGTATATGGAGTTCTAGTATTAATTCTGTTTACGAATATCGGAATACAAGATAGCCACCAAACGACAAACATTTTATGACACATAAAACATATAATTTGGGCCGTTAAATAGATATTACGGCAGAATGTAGGTCGAATACTGAAGGCGACGCTAAATAAATACGTTATCGATGCTGCCATTGCTGGATATGTTATCGCTATGAGTTACAGCAGATCCATAGTGCAGCGCAAAGCGCTGGGACAGCTCCCAATAACCCATTCTGTGGCGCATTTGTAATTTCCACGAGGATTTAATGGAAATGCCACGTTGCATATGCAGCTTCTGATCTATTACTGGTCAGTAGAGACGATTTAAACCGCAATTTACAACTGCCTTTTATCTTAGGTATTTCACAAAGCACCAATTGTATTCCAAAGTTTATTTTAAATACAATTTAATGTACCAAAAATATTAAAAAATCATCGACGTAGACTTTGATTTACAGAACTGCATGTTCGTGTTAAAATAAAAAAGTCAACTTAGCGAAATTTACAATTAGATAAATTAGTGAACCAAGTTTCATCAACCTATGTTATACAGCCTCAGCCGTATTTCAGAAAATGGAATGCTCGTTTTTGCTTAAAAAATTGCTCCTGGTGAAGTGTCCTGTTTAATATCTGGGCCACCGTGTATTTGTAATAAGTAAAGTTAGTCTAAAAGAAGCTATCGAAGAAAAAAGGAAAATCAGGAACAACCAACTCTTACAGAATCCGGGAAATGTTTAATTTAGTTAATTTCATTAAAGGTTGGTACAGACGACAAAAACCAAACCATACGACAAAATTAAAGCTTCCGTGACGGACCATTAAAGAACTGAACTCGGGGGCCCTGCATTTCGATCCTGTAATGAAGGCATACAATTTACTACAGATTATACTAGTGAGAGGAGAGAGGCAACGGATTGCGACTGGATGAGGACGGCTTTTGTTTCAAATACAAAAAAGCTACGAGCGAACGGAAGACACCAGCCTGTGTCGATTCAATACTTTTAAAAGGTACATCTGCTAGATTGGATATGCATTATATTCTGGAGGGACGAGGATTATCCTAGAAGGCGGCGCGCTCACGCAGGTTTAGTTATAAACGAGGTATTTTGTAATTGCATGCTTAATGCGAAGCGAGATGTGTCACAACACCAGATTAAGCAATTATGTGGAAGTGCGATTTATTACCCGGAGTGTACAGGGTGCGGCGTTTTCGTGGATTGCACATTTCCAAAATAATTACAGTTCTTGTCACAGATCATCACTAGATCCCCAGATTTAGCGTTAAAGAAAGAAAAAATAGAAGGAATTTGGTACAGAGCACGTAACGTTGAAAGATGAGAGTAATTAAATCACTCAGAAAACATCAAATGTTTCAAAGTATCTAGAAATATTTCAAAAAACTTCGAAATACATCCAATTATCTTAAAATCCTCTAAGACCACTAATGTCCAAATATTTCAAACCTCGAAATCTTCGAAATACATTGGAGAACATGTAAATATTTCTAAATACTTCAAAAAGTCTGAAACTTTTTCGAAAATATTCAAATGCCTTTAAATACATAAAAAACCTCAAAATATTTCGAAAAATCCTGTAAAAAAGTACTGTGAAACCATCGAATACGTCATAATACTCCGAAGACTTGAACAGACGTTGAAAACTTTTAAATGCGTTGGAAAACCTGTAAATATATACATCAAAAACCTCAAAATATTTCGAAAAATCCTATAAAAAAAGTACTGTAAAACCATCGAATATGTCATAATACTTCGAAGACTTGAACAGACGTTGAAAACTTTTAAATGCGTCGGAAAACCTGTAAATATATACATCAAAAACCCTGGAATTACTCCGAAAACCTCCAAATTCGTTAAAATACCTCAAAAACTTCAATTTCAAAAGCCGCTAAATACTTCGATATATCTGGAAAACTTGAAAATATATCGAAAACCTCAAAAATCTCGAAAACCACTGAATACTCCGAAATATTTCAAAATGTTTCTAAAACTTTAATGTGCATATAAATACATCCAAATAGTTCGAAAGCCTTTGAAATAGTACTTCAAAAAATATTTATAATATTCGAAGTCGTTATCGACCTTTTGTTGACACATTTTGAGCTAGTTTGGGTTGAAATCTGGAATCTGGAATACTAGGGAGGGTAGCTGTTAAAGCTACAGCACTTAGGCCCATTGGGCTCCTTGTACCTCCTCCCATTAGGAGATCAATCCACTTGAGCCATTAACCAACCTATTACAGTGAAGAAGGTGGTGACATACCTTAAATTGGAGTAAATACTACAAGACAGAATATTGATAAAGGTACAACTCCAATTAAGAAGTTAAAGTAAGGTATTAATCACGCCTTCTTGATCAATTTACTCAGTAGATAAATCCAATTTGGAACACTCTCGCATAAAGCTCTGCAACAATGTAGCATTCTCAGTTTTGCATTCCAGGTTACCATCTTTTTGGACCTTTGAAAAATGATTGGTGTGACAATAGATGGAGATAAAGAGGTGGTGCATTCTTGGTACAGACACAACTGAAAACATTTTTTTCTGATTACATAAAAGAAAAACAGCAAAAAATTGGTAGTATTGGTAATACTCCCCGAAAAATTAATGCATCTGATAAAGTCCAAGCTGCTTAAAGCGCCACCGAACCACCAGAATTTGAATAGTATTTATTCTAAATGAGCCATTTTCCCGTCTGTCCTTAATGACGCCTCAGGAGGTCATCGCATTCTTAAACAAAACCAGTAAATAATCGCTCTTGGGTTAAAATTCATTACCCCACGATTAATTGCTTGTCGAATCTGGGGAGTTGGAGAAATATCTAGTTCTTTTGTATTCCTCGCTCTTCCTCAAAGGCATTTATTAAAAATATATAATATCAAGAGACCGAATGAATTATACTGTCGAAATTACAGCGCGAGAGACGACCACGCGTAGGATGATAAATACACGCCGAAGGAAAGTCAAATATAGCACCGCGATCGAGCAAATCGGATACGTCGTTCGAATTGATAGTTAATAATCGAATCTTCGGCTGTTTACATCCATCCGTGAGGGGGGGAAGGGGGAGAAGAATGTAAATGACGGACGTCCCGTAGCAAATAGTATTCGCTGGGTCGTGCCCCGACACTTTCAGGACGATCAATCACTCCGTAACAGACATACAAAAGGCGGGTTTGATGAGGAACTGTTCCAACTATTGCCTGATGAGGGCCGGTTGTTGAAGGACTGGCTTAGCTTGGAGCAGAGTCAGCAAATAATGGGCTTTATTAAACTGAAGAATTGTAGACAGATAGTACCAGAAGTGTTCTCGGTGTCCCAACTCATGAATAAGACAATTCAGTTTCAATAAGGTTTCAATCGGAATTGAGCCATGATGCTAACATATTTCTGCATTTTAACGAATCGTTTCAAAACGTATCTAAAAGAAATCGAGTTTATACGACGTACAACATTTATCAAAACATCCCGTGTAACTTAAGGCTTTTGAACTTGCGATTTTCTATAAACGTTCCTCCTACTGCCGCTTTTTGCGCGTTGATAAGTTAATGAAAAATCGATACCAATCCGCGTCTACAAGTTTCTATCCCAATAACGACGTGTTAGACACACCACATAAACACTCCAAGTCATTTATTTGATGAAAATCTGAGCCAGCCTGACGTTAATCCGATAAAAATGATGGAGCGGCCTGCCATTTTTTCTGGAGCCTCAAGGGGACAATGCGGTTTCAATTCGACGTTTCAATATGTCACCTGACTCGTATAGGTGGCATAGGATTCGGTGAAATATTGTCGCGTTGAGAAAATTACACGCGGTATGCGGGTAATTTACAAGCTAAATTGAATTTTCATAAATATTGTTAGCGAAAATTGTTTTTTATGGGCCTGAAACATCTTTACTGAACGAAGGATAAGAAAAGGAAAGCCAAAACGTGACTAGGAGGAAGAAGAGAGTTTTTTT